ACAGCAATAAAACTGAATCAGATGTCCTAAATGGGATCAAATTCAAACAATGAATTTAAATAGAGATGCATTCAAAGTAGATCCAAATGTGATTAAAGAATATTCTCGCTTGGAACAAGTAGCATCACAACCGCTTCCTATTTCATAAACAAACCTAGATTATCATGTTATCAGTTATCATATAAGTATAATAAAGCAATTAGGGGTTCTTTAAAAAAAATGTTTATTTGACTATGCATTTATGCTCATGTTACACCTAATTTTATTTTGAAGGCTGCCGCCAGGCGGCCATAGTGGTACAGTTCTAGTTAACAGATAAAAATTGCGCCTAATTATTGTAACATGTTACACACAATTTATTATTGACATTGTTTGTGCGACAATATCGGAATCATCAACTCCGAAAATTGAATATAAATTTACTCAGTTTGGACTTATAATAAAAATGATACACCTTTATTCTTCTTTTCGTTTAACAAATATGTCATGTTCGAAAGTATTTTCAGGAGATTTACCTGAATTAATATATAAAATCATCAAAAATTTTCAGAATGATTATTCAACCTTACATTCATGTGTTTTAATTAATAGATTATGGTGTCGTTTAACAATTCCATTATTATGGGAAAATCCATTTTCAATCTCTACCGGAAATTACAATTTATTGAAATTTACTTATATAATTTGAGTAAACATTTAAAAGCAATATTAAATGAATATCAAATTATTGATTCTTTATTAACTTCAAATACACTTTTCAATTATCCTAGTTTTATAAGATATTTAAATATAAATAAAATTAAACCTTCTATTGACATGTGGTTAAAAGCTAACGATATAACCTTAAATATGGATTCAGTATCTGAATTTAAAAAATGTATTAATATGTCTCTAATTAAATTATTTATTGAAAATGAAGTAAATTTATATACCCTTGAACTTGATGCTTCTGATACTCATTATAACACATATACTGACAATATTCTTGAGATAATTTTACAAAATCCAAATTTCATTAGTAATAATATTAGAAATTTAAAATTTTCTATTTCAAATTGTAATTCTATGATTAAAAATCATGTAACACAAATAATTAATTCAAATCAAAATCTCAAACAAATATTGTTTGGTCTTAGTTCCCTTTCTTTATATCAATCATTATTATTATCAAAAGAATCTAATTGTTCAAATACCTTAAATACAATCATTTTCAGTAATATCGATTTTAAACGTATAAATAATTTAGATAAAATATTTGAACAATTAAATGTTTTAGAATCTGTTCATATCATTTATTGTTATTCTTTAGATAGTTTTATTCAACAAATTATTAAATTAACCAAACCATTTAAATTAAAATCTTTATTTTTAACCATGATATTAGAAATTGATTCATTACAATTATTATTACAAAAATCTGGTAATTATTTAGAAAATTTTGGCAATTATTTATCATCAGATCAACAATTACTTCAATTAATTATAAATTATTGTAAAATATCAGATTACTTGATTTACGTAATAGAATTAAAGATGATATTACTTCTTTAATATTCAGTTTAATTGAAAATATTAAACAAAATTTTAATTATCTTTCAATCAATTTAAGTAATTATAAAGATAATGAAGATAGTAATATCAAGTTAATATTACAAAATTTAGGACAAATACTTCCTTCTAAACTTGAATATTTAAATTTGGTTTCTCGCATTAAAGCAAATGATATTGAAATATTTTTAAAAAATTCTCAAGATAATTTCTTTAATAAATTGGTAATTGAAAATAGAAAACAAGATGATATTAATTATATTGATATTTTACCTTATATAAAAGAATATGTTATGAAGAAGAAAAGAGTTAAATATTTGGCTATTAAGAATACAATTCAAGGATGTGTTGATATGAAAATGGATTTATTTGATTTAAAAGACGAAGTGAAGGAATTTAAGTTACATAATATTAAAGTACTTAGTTATACTAATTTATGTATTTATATTTATAGATTTTTAAATGAAATTGATTATTAGTTGTTATTTAAAATATTAGATAGAAATATTTTTAAATTTTATACTTATCTTATGATATTCATTTATTTATAATTATTTTTAAAGTATAGTTAAACAATTGTTAATTGCTTAAAGAAAGTTTTTAAATAAATATTGTAAAATAATAATTAAGGAAAGGATTCCGTATGGGTCGAATGATCGTAAATCTAGACTCTATTGAAATTTAATCAGTCTGATAAGTTTAATATCATTCCAATGAATAAAAAATACTATGGAGGTAAACCCAAGAAAAATTATTTCGGTATTTTAAAAAACTGAATCAAAAAAAAAAATTATTATTCGGTATAACTGAAAAAAAAAAGATTAAAAAAAAACAAAAAATAATAAATTAAAAATTTTATTTTATTTGAAAAAAAAGAACAAAATTATTAATAATACAAAAAAGTTGGGTTAAAAAAAATATATATATTAATAACAAGAAAAAACGGTTTTGAAAAAAAAACACCAAAAAAATTTCACCATTCTGCTCGAAAATCCTGGGTTAAATAACCTGGGTTAAATCAACCCCTTAAAATTTATATTTACATCAATCTTTCAGAAAAAAAAATTTGTGTTATTATTCATTTCATTTTATATAGATTTTATTTATTTAGACATTATAAAGCATAATGACCAAGTTTTCTTACATTCTTGACAATGTCTCTTGTTTGTATTTAATTCTATTATACATTTTTATAACATTGATCTTCTATTCCACATACCATAATATAATGTTTCTTTTATTAGTATCTAACGGTTCTATTTTCTCTTTTTTACTTTTCTCTAAAGTTTCATCTTTTCTTTTGATCCATAACATCGCCAGAGAATGTACTTTAGTCCAATTAAATAAAAATATATATAATTTATAATTCAACTTTTTACGTTTGCCTTTTTTCTAGATCAAAATTGTAACATTATTATATGTATTCTTATATAAATGTAAAGTAATTCTACTATATTCTTTAATTAAATTAAATTAATTATTATACTTATTAGTTCTACTTTTTCTAGATAGCGATATGGTTTTATTTTGGTCTTGTGATAATTCTTGTTGGATCGATTTATTTTCTATTACAGTATAACGCTAACTTTATAAGTCTATAATTTTTTTAACTCGTTTACATTCCAATACTAATATGGTTTGATTATATTCCCCAATATGATATCATTTTCTTTTCTGAAATTTAATAATCTAGAATTTTCGTTCTTTTCCATATACAGTATATCTAACATTCTTCTCTATTATTTTGTACCATTTTGGTAACTTTCCTTTTGTTGTTATATTACGTTCTTTACATATATTTTCCATTTCATTAACATTGTATTATTATTTCTCCAAAAACAATATTTTTTTATTTCTTAACGATGCTCTATTTTCTTAATTCCCAATCTATGTCACCTTCGAGGATACGACGCTCGTATTTTTTCAGCGCTGAGTTATTAATCATCAAATTGAAGATACAAGGTTGAATAACATTGTTGCTCCATTATCGGACATTTTGATCGGTTACATATATGTTGTTCCATAAATCTTAGGATGAAAAAATTTAAAATTATTAATTATAGGATCTCGTATGTGCGATTCAGCATTGTCAAGTATTTCTGCTCTTTCGTTGTAAGGTATGTTATATGTGCTTTGGCTTTGACTAAATTGATGTATAAACGACGATTATCTATGATCCAAAAAATAAAGTCCCAAATGAGAAAATTATTTTGTTTTAAACATTGTCTAGGAGTGACGATCAGGGATTTTGTCTGTTGTAAAAGGTTAGATACAATTTGCTGAATCCATGTAGATGGTAAAGGTACTATTATATGGTAGGGTGATGAGCGCAGTCAATATACCATTGATTCACTTTTTGTAGGCGAGGGGAAAATACGGTGAAGCCGTTGAATTTGATTCTGGGAGAATCTGGGTGGCATTATATCCAGCTATAACCACTAGTGCAGTGTATGGTGCCAATTGTTTTACAGAGACATCTGTATAGAAGGTGAAATTAAGTGCAGAAGAAAATTGTGTCGAAATTTCAACTAATTGATCTTTCAAGCAATCTTTACAAATGAGAGCCTGACAAATTATTTTTATAAGCTATGTGTTTTAAAATAAATAAGGTAGTAGCTATAAAATAAGTTTGGTTAAGTTTTCTGTTTAACGATTTATGTTTATTGAAGTTTTTGTTGTAGGTCTTGAAAACTATTAATCTTTGTGTTTTGGTAGTGATAACGCATTTAGAACGTAGGTAATGTGGAAAATATGATTTTAGAGGACATCCGTTGCTCTTGATTAAAATTAAGTGTTATATTCTAGGTGTTAAATTAGAATTTATTGCCTTATTGGTTCAATAATTTGTTCTACATATGATACAGAGTAATTATTAGTTGTTTCTTGTAAGAGGGTTTTTCAAAAAATTACATTCTTCAGATCCAGTGGATCCATTCTGACTTGAGATGTGAAAAGCCCATTTCTTGTTATGGTATATGTGAACGGTTGATGATTGTAATTGGATCATTAATAGGATGTGTCAAACGTCGGTGTTCACTCAGTATTTAATTTATCTTTAAAGGAAAAGTTCCTAGTTGATTTAAAAACCTGAAAATTGTTGAGGTTGGAACATTTGGTTTCGTCTCATGTTAACAAATAGTTACTGTCCGTAAAGGTAAGTTGGTCCATAAACATAATCTTTTTGTATTAATATAATCTTGGATCAGTGTCGTACCTCCAATGATGTCAATGTTGAACATATACTGTCTATGTCGAAATTTTACTGATGGTAAAAATTAAATTGTTTCCAAAATGGTAATCTGTGCAATTAGATATGTGTATAATATCAGGATTATTGTCTTCACTGTGTAATTTGGCTAGATCAATCAAATCGTCTCTATTAATTCAGATTATATACATCGTGCCAATAATATAGACTATTGATAATAATTTGCCTTATAAATATTTATTGTTTCTACATTATTAAGTTCATATAGAAGAACTAGCACAAGTAATTCGCTAAGCAAATAATCCAGTAACATTTATTTTTTAGTTAGATAGTGTATACTCGTATACAACTATGTAATATGTATTTCGAATTTAGATTGATCGGGTAACTGTAATATCAGCTGTAGTGCTGTAATGAGTCATTGTATATACAAAATATACTATCGCGTAAATCATGACTTGGTATTTATATACCAAATTTTGTTGGACGAATTTAGATAAATGTTGATAAGCCACAATTAGAGATCTAGATTTTCACTGATCTATAGATGATTATGATTATAGTGTCCTATGACTCATTAATAAAAGCCAATTGTTTTTGTTGTGAATTGGTTGCTACAAATACGCCAAGAGAGGCAGTACTTTGTAAAACCTTTTATTTTACCCTATATTTTATTTTTCGCTTATCACCAATCAATGATAATACATGTGTCTATTCCAGTTAAGAAACATGTAATTGCATTTTTCATGTTATTCCAAATACTATAATCAAAAAGTATTTTTTATTTAAATTAATCATCTTCAGAAATCACTACTGGTTTGATAGTGTTATTGTCAGTAAATTCCAATAAGGGAGTAAATCATATTGACTATGCATTATAATCTAACAATTATACATTATTAGTCATCATTAAGCTAACTAATATTACTAGTTTTAGATTAAATAACTATAAATTAATTGATATAATAGATGTGACTCATACATGATCTAAATTTTTTTTAATAAGTTACTATTAGTCACTATATATTCAAAAGGTTTTTAAAAATATATATATACCCTTAAATTTTTCTTTGAGAAATTTCAAAATCTCTTTCAAATATTCAAATATTATATTTTTTACAAATATTGTTACAAAATCAAATTTTCTTTTCAAATATTATTGCAATTTTTTTTTCCAAAATCAAATTTTAAATTTTCCAAATCAAATCTTTAAATTTTTTATAATTCAAAATGTCATACCAAATGTGCCCAAACTTCAATACTCCTTTTAACAATATTCCCATTGACAAATGCTATCATTATCATCTCCAATCTGGGCCATCTACCTTCCAATACTTGCCATTATTCATAACTTACTTATACATTCTTTTTGTTCTTTTATTGATATCAACAAATCTACTTAACTATACACTCATTTTAATCCTTGTTTTAATAAAATCTATCATTAAAATATTCTTTTTCCTTTCCTTGAACCTCTCTCTCTCAAATCTCTCTCTTCTCCTCCAACCATTTCATCCATCAAATCTACTATCAATTCTCTCTCTTTTTAAACATTTTCTTATTTCAAATCTTTTGTTATTATCACAATATTCTCCTGTTATGTCAATTCTTCTTTTATTTCTTGATTCTCTTCTTTATTTTCTTGATTTTCTTTATGAATTGACTAATTCTATAATATTATTTCTTTTATCTTCACTTTCTTTTTACAAATGTAAAATTGAATTGATAGTTGATTTAAAAAATACCCTTAAAAATTCCCAATAATTTAGACATTATTAAATTAAATAATTTTATATTATGTAGCTAGGTCCATTGCTTACCAAATATAGCATGGAGACGTAATCTTTACCCTTTGGTCAACTTGGGAATACTTGACCATTCTTAGATAGATAATTTTTACAAGGGGATCGTTTGCATCGCCCATGAAGCATTGCACTGTGCTAATTGGTGTCAGAGAGATCCTTTGTCTTGTAAAAATTTACCCTTTCTTGATCATTTGACCATTCTTAGATAGATAAATTTTATAAGGGGATCGTTTGCATCGCCCATGAAGCATTGCACTGTGCTAATTGGTGTCAGAGAGATCCTTTGTCTTGTAAAATTTACCTTTCTTCAGCATTTGATCTATCTCATGTGATTTCCTTCTTCACATGTGATACCCTTTATTTTATTCCTTTGTTGAGTTCTTTCCTTAATAACTTATCAACTCAACAATTATCCATCACCGTTGGTTCCACAATTTTTGTGTCCAAGTTCAATTCTTGGAGGTGATTTTTTTATTAATTAGTTTTATATCTTCTTTTTTTTCAGTTTTCCATAGTGTCTTCCTGTTTGTACCTTGTTGTGGTAATCATTTGTTTTGTAATAATCAGAGAAATGAATTACCGGAATTTCTCACATATAGTCAGTACCATTCAGTATTTTTTGCATAAATATTTATTTTCATTCAATAGAGATAAGGTACTCCAGTTTTTCCAACGTGTTCTGGACCTGAAATCTAAAAGAAAGTATATGGAAACGTTAGCAAATGTTTCTAATTAATATAATAAAATTGTTTTTTTTGTTTCTTAACGCGGCATATTACAGAATTTACGATTCTAGCATTTCCAGTGTAATCTAACATTTCTAATTAATAAGTTTCACACAGATATTGCGTAACCTACCATCTCCCAATTCACTCAAAAGTCCAAAACCTACAAAAAGACACAAAAGGAAAATAACATTAGTTTATGTTTCTTTAAATAAAAGTTAGAAAATAAAGTTCCAAAGTTACGAAACTTACCAGTACTTATGATTCCGTATGAAATTGGAAGAAACCTACAAAAAAAATTAAAGAAACGTTGGTCAGTCAACACTTCTTTTAAAAAAAAAAAAAAGTTTCAAGATTTTATTTACCTTTGACTTTTTTCCTCGCATTCTGTAAAGTAAAGTCAATAACATATACGACATAGCAACGAATTTATAAAGTAGCAATTTCACAAGACAACAGTTTCCCATTACGGCAACATTGACATTTTCAATTCGAAACTTCATGTATAAAAAAGTTTTTAAAAAATAAGTTTCGAAAGTTTCAAAACTTTACTACTATAGTACTAAAAAAAATTATAAAAGTTTCAAAAAATTGAAACTTTATATTATATAAAAAAAAATTTTAAAAAAATAAGTTTCAAAAGTTGAAACTTTACCATACTACTGAAATTTTAAAAATCGAAACTTTATGTATAAAAAAAATTTAAATAAATAAGTTTCGAAGGTTCAAAACTCTTAAAAAAATTACAAAAAGTTTCTCGAAACTTTATGTATAAAAAAGTTTGTTTATCAAAAAAAAATTAGTATATCATGAATATCGCGTAATACACGTGATTGGTACGCGAGATTGGAGTGGGCAATCGATTAGTCAACTTTTTAAATATAAATTAAATCGCATAAGAACTATGATGCATAGGGAAGGAAACAATAATGAAAAATAATTACATAATAAGGAAACAATGTAAAATTTTAATTTTCTATGATGATAATAGATTTTANCAAAAAAAAATTAGTATATCATGAATATCGCGTAATACACGTGATTGGTACGCGAGATTGGAGTGGGCAATCGATTAGTCAACTTTTTAAATATAAATTAAATCGCATAAGAACTATGATGCATAGGGAAGGAAACAATAATGAAAAATAATTACATAATAAGGAAACAATGTAAAATTTTAATTTTCTATGATGATAATAGATTTTAAACGCCTAAAACTTGTTTGTTCGATTTATTATGAATTCGCCTCGTAAAATCTCCAAAAAAAAACACTAATCAAATTAATCTCAAAATTCTTTCTCAAGTAAATTTATTAAAAATGAAATTACCTCTAAACCAATTGTTCCGAAGTAACAAAAATCATTTCGTTAGTAAATTTTTAACGGGAGATTTTTTTTTTTGATAGAAAACTTCGGTAAAGAATTTTTTTTTTTAATAGAAGGGAAGTTTTTTTGATATGGAAATTCTTTTGAGATATTTAATGGGTAAGAATCTTTTTTGAATTTTTTTTTTTATATAGGGAAAACGTGTTTTTTGATGAAAGATTTTCGTTAGAAATTGTTTCTTTAATAGGAGATATTTTTTTGATAATTCTGTTGGTTGAAAAGTTTTTATAGGTGAGATGGTGAATTTCGTTTAGAAGTCTTAATAGAAAATTTTTATTGAAAACAATTTTTTAATGAGGGTATTGAGAATTTTTGCTTGAATTTTTTTTTTTTTTAATAAAGAATTTCGTTAAAGATCTTTTTTTTTTTTTCATAAAAATTTAAAAAATTTGTATTCTTAGTATATGGTTTTAATTTTTTATCTTTTTGATCTATATTAGCAACATACTATTTTAATTTTATCATCAGCTTTAGTATCATTAATTTCTTGATTCTATACTTAAGAAAACCTAAAATATATGTAGCTTTTTGTTAGTGTGATATACACTGGCAGCCTCGATAAACCGGACTCGTCCTTCCATTAGAAAATCTGATATATTAAGAAATTCGATATATCGAAAATAAATTTATTATTGTATTATAATAATCCGTTCCAGGATCCTGTTTATCGAAGATCCGGTTTATCAAAATTGATTGTGTAATTTACTTTATCTTGGAATATATAAGATTATACAGTACAATATTATTCCTCTATATAGTACAAGACCGAATATACTCACGTTATAACATTTTTCTAGAGGTTGGATCCGTTGTTTGAACGGATATTAATAATTTTGAAGGTCGTATGGATAGTGACTCGAAATTAGCAGGAAGTCATTAAGCCAATGATCATCTATAATGAAGAAAGCTTACAATTAAACCATCGTTGAGTATCGAGATAAAAGAAATAATACAAAATATAAAGGTGTATCATAAACACGTAAAAAAAAAAAAAAAAAAATTTTTTAATAGTATTTTAATAGTAGCATTATTAAGGATTAGTCATATAGAAATTATTTGTGAACAACTAATAATAGCGCGAGCAGAATCGAATAATACCGAAATTAAGCAACCATTTTTAAACTTAATTCCGGCCAGAGATCTCATAATTCTGAACAAATTCGATACTCACTATTTACAGTGATCAGATTTATTAGCCTTTATTATCTAAATCTATTTAATATTAGACAATTTGTCATGATTATTAAATGACGAGTTATTTATATATATTCACTCTATTAAAGAATAAAGACATTTTAAACATCATAGTATTCATGTTTGGCAGATTTCATAAATTTTTGAAATAATGATCGGTAATAATTTATTTTTAATTAACGTATAACAAATAGGAACTGGTAGAAGAAATCAAGTTTTTTATTCAATTAAACCAAAAAAAAAAAAAATATATCGACCATTTTATTTTAATATGCCATATCGCAATATCGCATGTATTTTAAAATAAATCACAATTATTATATAAATAATTGAAAGTGAAATAAAATTTAAAAATTAAAATTAAAAAAAAAAAAGCTAAAATACTTTCCTAGTATTTATACATCTAAAACTTTAAATTACTAAAAAAATTAAAAAAATGTAATAAATTAATTGTCCCTCCAGAAAAATTAAGGAGATGGTCGGTTGATTCAGATTCATCATGAATTTTGGATTATCAAATTTCCAAAAAATGTTACATTATGGAGCAACGACAACTGGTCTTGTGGTGGTGTTTACGATTATGTAATCTAATTTTTGGTCATTGTTATTAAATTTTTTAATGTCTTTTTAAATAGATCAATTTTTTAAAAAATATTGATAAAATGATCAAATTTTGTTTATCTTTATATAATTTTCTTATGTAACAATTAGCCAAAATTATACTTTACATATTTTAAAAAATATTACAATTTAATACGAGAGAATGACTATTAATTTCGTTATATCGGAGTAATGATTAGAATTTTACAGTATATAAATTTACCGATCAAACTGCAGTTTTATGATATAATCCTATGGTAATTCACAGACGATCTTTTTTTATTTTATTAAAAAAAAACAAAAAAAAGTATAAAAAGACCTTTGATATGATGTGTGGTAAGTGGACTTTGGCGTTAAATTCAGCGTTAAGAAACGAACAGACCGAACGAAATGTTAACGTTAACGTTAACATAACGTTAACAAGTTAAGAATAAAATTTGTTCATCATTTATTCATGCTTACATAATACATTTTCCATTGCCACAAAATTGACTTCATTGCACCCCTCTAACGGTCAAGTAATCTTTTAGTGTTTTAAAAAAAAAAAAGAATATAACTCGGTAACTCAAAAACTTACTGCGGGAAACACAAATTCTGTGGTAACAGGACCCTGAGCACATAAAGCACATAAAAGGCAAAATAAGTGTAGATTCTCACTTTTTTGGTTAATGCAGGAGTCATTACGTGCCGATCTCTATATTATATCGCTTGGGTCCTGCGGCAACTGTGTCACCATAAAGTTAATAAATAAAGAAAAAAAAAATACCACGATTTCTTTCTCCTTACTTTTAAAATAATTATTATTTTATAATGTCCAATAACAAAATTAATTCTGATTTTTCAAATACAAACAATTCATATGAATTTTTTCAAATTAATCAAAATTTTAATGAAATGAACATAATTGAAACTGAACCTACAACTAATAATATTCATGAAAATATTTTTGAAGAAGATTTAAGTATAGTAATTAATGAATTGAGTAAACTTTATTTTAAGGAATTAAATGAAGGAAAAGAATCTAGTGTAAGAAAGCAACATATTCTTGATTTTATTAAAAATTACAAAATAAATTTACAAGAAATTATTTATTGGCTTTCAAATAATCAACATGATTCAAATTCTATTCATTTACTTGGTTATTTTTATTATTATGGAATTGGAATTAATTTAGATGTGCAAAAAGCAATTAAATTTTTTAAAAAAGCTGCAGAATTAGGACATGATGCAGCTCAATATAATCTTGCTAATATGTATATTGATGGTGTTGGTGTTGATAAAAATTATGATAAAGCTTTTGAATTATGTGAAAAATTAGCAGGAAAAGGTTATTCAAGTGGAATAAATTTGTTAGGATATTGTTATGATATTGGAATTGGAACCGATGTTAATGCGAAAGTAGCATTTGATTTTTATTTAATGGCGGCAAATTTGGAATATAAATATGCTCAATATAATCTTGCTTTGATGTACGAAAAAGGAAAGGGAATTGAAAAAAATATGGAACAGGCAATTTACTGGTATAAAAAGTCGGCCGAACAAGAATATCATAATGCTAAAAAAAAATTACAAAAACTTTTAAAAAAGTAATAGTAGGTTTTAGTTTACAGTTTTTTAGGTTTATATTACATAAGCATTATATTAATATTGAATATTGAATTATAATACAAATTAATTGTTTGGGTAAAAATTATTAGGGGTTGCAACTTTTTAGATTTATTTAGTCAGACAAAATGGGGTTTTCTAAATAGTTTTATATAAATAAAAATTTTAAGATAAGCCATATGTTACTGAACTACTATAACTTTGTTGATTTAATGAAATAATAATTTTACAAAAAATTAAATGTCTTCTATTATGAACACATGATCAATATTTTACAAAAAAAAAACTGCAGCTCGGTAACTCAAAAACTTACTGCGGAAACACAAATGATCTGCGGTGACCGGTAATAATATCATCATAAATGTCGTGAAACATTGAAAAAAAAATATACCATTATATAAATTTTACATTTTTCTCTTTATTTTTTAAATAATTGTTTCATAATGTCCAATAACAAATTTTATTCTGATTTATTAAATATAAATAATTCATCATGTGAGTTTTTTCATATTAACCAAAATTTTAATGAAATGAACATAATTGAAACTGGACCTACAACTAATTATATTCATGAAAATATTTTTGAAGAAGATTTAAGTATTATAATTAATGAATTGAGTAATCTTTATTTTAAGGAATTAAATGAAGGAAAAGAATCTGATATAAGAAAGCAACATATTCTTGATTTTATTAAAAATTACAAAATAAATTTACAAGAAATTATTTATTGGCTTTCAAATAATCAACATAATTCAAATTCTATCCATTTGCTCGGTTATTTTTATTATTATGGGATTGAAGTCAATAGTGATAAACAGAATGCATATGAATATTTTAAAAAAGCTGCAGAATTAGAACATGATACAGCTCAATATAACCTTGTTAATATGTATATCGATGGTGATGGTGTTGATAAAAATTATGATAAAGCTTTTAAGTTATGTAAAAAATTAGCGGGAAAGGGATGTCCTAGTGGAATAAATTTGTTAGGATATTGTTATGATATTGGAATTGGAACTGATATTGATAAGGAAAAGTCATTTGAATTATATCGAAATGCTGCAGATTTAGGAAATTTGAATGGATTAAATAATTTAGGAATTTGTTATGAGGGTGGAGTTGGAACTAATGTTAATAAACAAAAAGCATTTGAATCATACCAAAAAGCAACAGAATTAGGAAGTACGAATGGAATGACTCATTTAGGATGGTGTTATGAAGAAGGATTTGGAACTGATGTTAATGTGAAAAAGGCATTTGAATTATATTCGAAGGCAGCAAATTTGAAAAATAAATATGCTCAATATAATCTTGCTTTGATGTATGAAAAAGGAAAGGGAATTGAAAAAAATATGGAACAGGCAATTTACTGGTATAAAAAGTCGGCCGAACAAGAATATTATAATGCTAAAAAAAAATTACAAAAACTTATAAAAAAGTAATAGTAGGTTTTAGTTTACAGTTTTTTAGGTTTATATTACATAAATATTATATTAATATTGAATATTGAATTATAATATAAATTAATTGTTTGTTTAAAAATTATTAGGGGTTGCAACTTTTTAGATTTATTAGTCAGATAAAATGGGGTTTTCTAAATAGTTTTATATAAATAAAAATTTTAAGATAAGCCATATGTTACTGAACTACTATAACTTTGTTGATTTTAGTGAAATAATAATTTTGCAAAAAATTAAATGTTCAACTATCAAACATTTACTATTCTATTATGAACACATGATCATTATTTATTTTTTATTAGCTCGGTAACTCAAAAACGATTTCCACAGCGTACCCTACAAAAATGTCACAATATAAAAACACGTGACTGTTTTTTGTCACATCCGTCACACCCTTCCTTGTTTCCATTTTTCATAAGTATCTGAGGGATTTAGTTTTTTTCGAGTAAGTAAAAACGTATTCGTCACTCCCTTATTTGTCACTGTTTATTTTCACGTGTTAGTGCATAACGCCGTAATGCTGGCCGTTTCGTGACATTTTTGTAGGGTACGCTGGGGTAATCCTCAAAAACTTACTGCGGAAACACAAATGATCTGCAGTAACGGGTAATAATATCATCATAATGTCGTGAAACATTGAAACAAAGAAAAAAAAACATACCATTATATAAATTTTACATTTTTCTCTTTATTTTTTAAATAATTTTTTTATAATGTCCATTAACAAATTTTATTCTGATTTATTAAATATAAATAATTCATCATGTGAGTTTTTTCATATTAACCAAAATTTTAATGAAATGAACATAATTGAAACTGGACCTACAACTAATTATATTCATGAAAATATTTTTGAAGAAGATTTAAGTATTATAATTAATGAATTGAGTAATCTTTATTTTAAGGAATTAAATGAAGGAAAAGAATCTTTTTTAAGAAAGCTACATATTTTTGATTTTATTAAAAATTACAAAATAAATTTACAAGAAATTATTTATTGGCTTTCAAATAATCAACATAATTCAAATTCTATCCATTTGCTCGGATATTTTTATTATTATGGGATTGGAGTTAATAGTGATAAACAGAATGCATACGAATATTTTAAAAAAGCTGCAGAATTAAAACATGATGCAGCTCAATATAACCTTGCTAATATGTATATCGATGGTGATGGTGTTGATAAAAATTATGATAAAGCTTTTAAGTTATGTAAAAAATTAGCGGGAAAGGGATGTACTAGTGGAATAAATTTGTTAGGATATTGTTATGATATTGGAATTGGAACTGATATTGATAAGGAAAAAGCACTTGAATTATATCATAAGACAGCAAATTTAGGCAACTGTTTAGCACAATATAATCTTGCTCATATGTATAAAGATGGAGAAGGTGTTGAAATAGATTTTGATAAAACTTTTGAGCTTTTTAAAAAATCTGCTGAAAAAGGTTATTCGGACGCAATTTCTATGTTAGGATATTGTTATAATAATGGAATTGGAACTATTGCTGATACGCAAAAAGCATTTGAATTATATCAAGAGGCAGCAATTTTAGATAACAATTGCGCTCAATTTAATCTTGCTTTAATGTATGAAATTGGTGAAGGGATTGAAAAAAATATGAAACAAGCAATTTATTGGTATAAAAAATCTGCTAATAAAGGGAATGAGGATGCTCAACTTAGATTAGAAGAGCTTTTAAAAGATTTTTGAGTTAACATTAATAAATAATTTATAAATATCTTTTTGTGGTATCCTAGATTTAATACAATTTTTTTTTTTATTGAGCTGGCATTTTGAATTATACAAAATTGATCCGTTTGATTCATGAACGATGGATTAAGTTCATTTCATTTTAGATTTTTGATCTTTATTTTTTGTCAAATATGTAATATTTAATATCGTGAACTTTTTTTCATTCCTTTTTCCTTTATTTCCTTTTTTAGCGTTATTATTTATTAGTCTAAAATCATCGAAGTACTGTTTATGATAAATGTTAATAAATTTTGAAATTTTGAACATATTGGTCAAAGTCAACTTTAATACATTATTAATATTACGTAAATGTGACAATATTTAGATTGCTTTAAATTAAATAAAGTAATATGGGCCTTATTAAGTTACTCCGAACCATAAAGTATTTGACAAAACTAAAAGTTTGCAATCAGCTAAACTTTAATAGTTTAAATTTTACATCATCAAGTTTAAATTGAGTATAAAATCGATTTATCAGCAACATGTATCTTTCCATTCCCTTTCTAATTCAATGTATGAAAGAATAACAAGATATGAACTAATTTCTCAAAAGTCTACTAAAGAATTTTTTACAAACGATAAATTTTTTTTTATTATGCCGCCGGTATTAAGTTTAAATACGTTATAATAGTACAATTGAAATTTGCAAAAACAATTTGGTTACAAATTTATACTGAAATAATATGTTTTTTTGATTAAGGTTAAGTTATTAACAAACAAAATATTATCTTACCAGATTTAATATATACATATGTGGATACCTAAGTTTATTATAAAAAATAAGGTTGAGATTAATTTTAATAAAGTTAAAGCTCATGATGGTATCAGAGGTAACGAAATAGTAGCAGATAGTTTAATGATACTAGGATGTCAAAATAAAATTGCACTCAATACGAAGATATGTGAAAATTGACTGATAGTTGAAAGTTCAAGAAATTTTATGAAAGAGATAAATAAATTAAGACACGAAGCAGAATTCTTACCTCTAGGTTTTTAAGATACATTGGCAAGCGACATATAATAATGTGATGAAAAAATTTAATAATGAACAAGATGATGAGTATCGCGTCAAATTATTATTTATAAAATTTCCATAAAAGAATACATTTAATGAAATATTATTAATCAATTTTCCTAAAAATATTATTATTTATTCTATTTCATTTTTAAAGTTTCCTTTAGTTTTTTCTTGTAATTTTCGGTTTTACAAGTTTTACTGTCTGATGATAAGATCAGCATAAAAAAAAATTCAAGTGGACCATTACACAACATTACACAATTTAATCGATTTATCCCTTTTAGTTCTGATTCTATAATACAGTTATTTGCTATTAACCGCACATATAATTGTACTTTGTGGTATAGTTTAAAAATGAAATGAACGATAAAAATGTTTCGTACATACACAAATAAAAAAGTTTATGATTATTTATTGCCATAATACTACAGTGTTTTACCTAAACGGTCGTATACGTGATTACATGCAAGAAATTTGTCTTGTAAAAAAAAATAATAATTAAACTACAAAAGCCAAGACACATGTCTTTGGTTTCAACCAATATTTTATATATTGCTTGTATAAATAAACTTTGATCGAATTATTTATAAAGTTAATATTATAATAACTACTGTAAATTACAATAAATAAGATAAAATTAATCCAATAACGAAGTATAATTAGTATTCATATAAAATCTCAAAATTACAAACTTCAATAAAAATTTCGTGAGATGATTTTTTCCTTATGAAAATCATTACTTCTTACACCAGAAATAACCATTCCATATTACAATGTTTAATGATTTTCATTTTTCTAAAAATAAAATTTTACGCCTTTTACAATGTGCAAACGTACCACAGACTCGTGTAGTACGATTTTTTTTTTTGTAACAATCATTGGGGTTGCACAACTAACTTTGATAAATTTATTTTTGACTCCGTTCTGAGTAACTTTTCTAAATTAATTTTTAAAAGTTTGAAGCTTCTATAATACAGTTCATTATGTCCTATAATGATAAAATTAATATTGCAATTGAGAGAGCATTTGCATTAATAGATTATAATATTTACAATGATATACATAAACAATTTGAATTTAAAAAACAAACAGTTCTTGCAGATGAATCACTTACAGAAAATGAAAAATCTGAAGCAATAACAATATTAACTAAAACTTATGATGATGAAAAAATTACGTTTAATTCAGGAACAAAAAGAATTTGTGAAAATTGTAACCAAGAATGTTTAGCTACATTATTTTGTGAACTTTGTGTTCGAAATTATTTAAAAGCAAATTTCTCAAATTGGACATCTAGAAATGTTGATATTGATAATTTATTACAAGAGTGTCAAGTGAAAACACAGGTACCAAGTAAGATACCAGAATGGATTCCATATGATAATTTACAAAATATCAAATATCTAACAAAGGGTGGATGCTCTGAAATATATACAGCAAATTGGATTAATGGAAGATATGAAGAATGGGATTCTAAAAAACAACAATTAAAAAGACTTGGAGAACATGGTGTAGTGCTTAAAAGATTAGAAAATGTTGAAAATGCAAATCAAAATTGGTTTGATGAGGTTTGTAATTTAAAGTATTTAAAAAGTTATTAATATTATAAGTTATGTTAATATTTTTATTTTTATAGGCAAAATCACATTTAAATATAAGCAATAAATGGAATGAAATCGTCCAATGTGTTGGTTTAACACAAGATCCATCAAATGGAAATTATATGCTTGTAATGAATAAAATGGATGTAGATTTAAAAAAATATTTACAACAAAATCATAATCAACTTACATGGAAAGAAAGAATTCAAATTGCTGATAATATAATTAAGGCACTTGGAAGAATTCATGAAGAGAATGCAATTCATAGAGATTTGCATTCTGGAAATTTATTGCTTAGAGATTCTAGATTTAATATTAGTGATCTTGGGTTTTGTGGACCTGCGGATAAACCATTAAAAAGTATATATGGAAATCTTCCTTATATGGCACCTGAGGTTATTATTGGAAAAGTACAGACTTATAAATCTGATATTTATAGTGTTGCAATGCTTATGTGGGAAATTTCATCTGGACAACCACCATTTATTAATTATGAACATAATTATGATCTTGCAATGAATATTGTTAATGGTATAAGACCAAAAATTGTATCAGGAACTCCTTTAGAATATAAAAATTTAATGAAACAATGCTGGGATGCTGATCCATTTAAAAGACCCGATATTGATACACTTTTGAATAAAATAGGAGAAATTAATTTATTTTATCAAAGTAAATCAAATGAATCATTAACTCAACCAGAAGTAAATAATAATTTAGAATGGAAAAGTATAGAAAATTATACAAGTAGCAACAATAGTTTATTTACAAGTAAACTTCATCAATTTGACAATCTTCCTGAACCCAGAAATGCAACAGAAGGTATTATATTTATTATAATGAATTGTTTTGTTAAATATTTAGAAAAAGTATTAAGATACTAAATATAATCAATGATGCTTTATTATATAAACAATAGAAGAACTAGAAGGTATAAATTTAAATTTATTTATAGTATTTATTTAAAATAGTTAATAATTGTGTTTGTTTCGTGGACATTTTAGCATTTTATAGTAAATCATATGAATTTTATATTCCTGATAATAGTAAGTATTATTGGATTTCTGTAAAATAAACATTATATTTATCTATTTTAACTTTTTTAGTTGATGAATTTGATAAATCGGGTAGTCAGAAGAATAGTACATCAAAATTAAGTAGTATATTTAAAGGTAACTTAATTAATAATATATTTGTTTTACGATAATCAAAATATACAAAGATTAATTTTATACTAAATTATATAGTTGGTAGTAAGAAATTATCTAAAATATTTAAAAGAAATTCAAAGAATGGTAAGTAAAATAATAATTAATATATTGATCTAAAATTAATTTAATATTAAAAACATAATTTATATTTAAATTTTTTAAGACATTCAAAATGATTATAAAGGAGAAACAATGCAACAAAAAGTGAAGAAAAATAATATTAACGTTGATGGTACAGTATGTAAGATTATCTAAACTATATAATTTCAATAATTAATTTTATATTGTTTTTTTCTTTTGTTTTTATAGATGAGGATGAAATATATAATAATCCAAATTTTCATTCGGAAGAACAAAATGAATTTGAACTTCCTGATGGTAATTAACATTTTTTCTTATTTAAAAGTTAAAATAAAATTTCAGCAATTTTTTTTTTTTAACTCGATTTTTTTTTTATTATTATAGATTTAAATATTTAATGCAGATAAATTATCTCAATTAAATAATAACAATATTATTATATCTACAATATTTCTTATCATTATTATGAATTATTTAAACACTAAGTCTAGAGTAGAAAGACGAGACTTCTTTCAAAATTCTTAGTTTGTAATTTAAATAATTATTTTTACATTATATTTCACTAATAAATTATTGTATAAATTATCAAATTACATATTATGATTTGTAGAAACTCGATAAATGAAATGTAAAAGTGAAATGAAATTGTTGATAAAATAATAAAGCACGCCCAATTATTGCTAAAATAACAAATATGTGTTTTAGAATGGTTATACATTGATCAATGATTTGAAATCACTTTAATTGATCACATAACCGATAATATGTGATTAAGGATCATGATCAAGGCAAATGTTATCAATTTATTAGAATTTGAAATTGTAATATTTCCTATTTATTTTTAACCTGATTATTTTAATAATTCTGGCATAATTAATGATTTCGATTAGAATTTCAAAAATTTTTGATAACTTTAGTCAAATATTTAAATACGAGTTTTGTCTTTTATTTTCAGGCATATGGATAAACAAAATATAAACAATGTATTTACTATTTAGTGTAGTATTCTTAAATATTATCAAGATTTTAATATATGAAGAAACACGTGTAAAAGCAGTTTTGGGAATAGTAAGTTATTATCGAGTCTTTTTTTGTCAATATACTATTTTTTTTCATTAATTTCATTGTGATATAGCCTTTTATTTTGAATAATGTAAACGTCGAATATGCTGAAAATATAAATTATTAAATATTAATTCAATATATCAATCATTTATTTCATTTTTAGTTATTTTCTTTACTATTTTCATAAAAAAAAATTATTAAGTATTGATCGAAATACTACTAAACAAACGCGTTTAATTTGTTGATATATATACGTATTAGAGCATAATCTAAGCTTATATTAAAAGTGCTGCGCGAGTACTTATCATGAAGCAGCATCGTCATTAAATATGTAGTTTATATATGTAGGTCAATCCAAAAAATTACCCGTTATCTGGATTCGGATCGGATTGAAGGCGGATTATCCGTCGGAGTCGCATCACTAACGTTGTCTAATCAATATTATCAATAGAAATTTGTGTACTGTTAAACTTAACTTAATTTTATTTTATCAAATAAGCTTTTATAAAAATTCAACGAAGTTTTTCTTAGTTAATAAAGTTTTTTTAATTTATTTACTACTATTTTAACAAATAATCATTAAAATCTATATAGAAACTGATATAAAATAATATTCAATTACCTATATGTGATAATAATAACAACATTTATCATAAACCTTAATTCAAAAATTAGAATTATCTTTTCAAATTTGTATACTAATATCAGATATGACTTATTTTCCAAGAAATATTCTCAATTATTAATAAAATTTTGTTCTAGTTCCTTTATTTATTAAGAAATATTAGCTTCTTTAGGAATGTTCCTTCAAAAAAATTCATATTTTGTGGAAATTAGTTTCTATAATATATTGGAACAGGTATTTATTTAATTTTATTCTAAATTTTAGATATGTAAAAATGTTTATCGTTTATACAATTACTATGTTTTCTTCTCCTTATTATTTACATATTTTTACAGAAAATTAGTTGATTATAATGTTTTAGGTTAATAATAATTTTATTTGAGATAAGCAAATGATATTATTTGAGAAATTCAATTGCTATAAGTGTAAATTATGTGAACGTTTCAGTTAGCGCAATGAGTTTCTTATTCTACCAAAATTGACCGTCCAACCCACATAATCAATATTTTAATAGATAATTGAGCATTCTTTTACCATAATTATTTTCATTTTCACTTTTTTATTAATCAAATTGAGAACGTTAATGTTTATATTGCAAAATTAATACTAATTATTATAACCAATTTACATTCTGCACATTCATCTAGCTTTTATAATATATTTCCATATTTTTGTCTGATAATGATATCATTGAAGCTCATAATTTCGAGGAAGTTTAATGACACAGATGCAGGATTACCACTTTCAATAATATTATCATCATATTATCATCCGATATTTATTATTCCATTAGCAATACTCATGCTTTGATGTTGTCGCTTCCAGATTAAAGGATGTACTTAAAATTAGTATCATGTAAAAAGGATGCCAATTTGCGACTGATTTATCTTATCAATATCAAACATTATTATTAAAAAATTTCACAAATTCACAAATTCACTGTGAACTAATATCTAGCGTTAATGCCGACAACGCAAACAAATTCAATTTTACTTTATTGGGTAAACAAATTATTTTAACATTCTATTTTATTCGCAATGACAAATAAGAAAAATTCATTATTTGAAAAATCATCTCAGATTGTTCAAAATTTTGATTAAAATGATTATAAGTAAAAAGACATAGAACCAACCGAACAACTTAAAACATTTATGAAAACATTCATGAAAATGTTTTTGAAAGAAGATTTAAATAATGTAACTAATTAATAAATTAGTTTATCTTTAAAGTGGTAAATGGAGGAAAAGAGGAAATTGTAATAATAAAGCAACATATTCTTGCTTATATTAATAATAATCTATAAGAGGTTATTAACTGGCTTTAAATAATCAAAGTAGTTTAAATTCCTTTTTTTTTCTACTTGGATATTTTAATTATCATGGAACTAAAACCATTATTAATGAACAAAGAGCATTAGAATTATTTTAAAAAGCAATAAATTTAAGTATTATTATATATGGCTTAATATAATATTGTTGATATATATATTAATAGAGAAAGTTATCGAAATAGATTATAATAAAGCTTTTGAGGTTTATAAAATATCAGCTGAACAAGATAAATTCTACTGCATGTTAGGATATTATTAGATTAATTATTAATAATGGTATTGCCACTAATATTAACAAAATTAACAAAAAAAGCATATGAATCATATCAAAAGGTCAAAAACTATCATGCTCAATATAATATTGCTCTAATATACGAAAATGGAAAAGAAATTGAAAAAATATGAAACGAATAATTCAAATGGTACTAAAAAAAGGTTATGAAGATGCTTTAAGTTTAATTAGAAGTATTTATTTAATATGTTTGAACGTTGATGAACTATAAATTAATTTTTTAAATAAACTGAAATTATTAAATTATAATTTTTTATAGATTCATTTTATAGTAATAAATATATAGTATGTCGTTTTAAGGTAAATTAGACCAGCAAATAAAAATTAATTTATAGTAGGCTATGGGGTTATAAGTGAAGAAATAACTTTGAGAATTAAACGTCAATTATTAAATATCACTCATCTGTATTGATTATTTAACATGAAAAAGTAATAACTCATCAAAATATATGTAATAAATTTTATATGTAAATTTTTTCAAAATAATAGTGCGGCCAAATTTTGTAATTTTGGCAAACTCCGCAGCCGATATTAATATAATTCTGGCTAGCATTATCGATCACGTGCACTCGAGTCTCGAGATCAAAATTTTTTTCATTTATCAAAAAAAAATTAACTTCCTCGCGAGGGTTGGGGTTATACTGGTATCGGTGTAGTATAGTAGACCCTTGTAAGGGCTTGGCTCCCAGATTTGTATGGTTCCCGTCGTTGTCTACATTTATAAAATAAAAATAAAAATAAAAGGTTAAAAATTAACATGGATACCTAAAATTCTAATTTATTCGCCTTATCATCAAATAAAATTATCATTGAAAAGAATTATCCATCATTAAAAAAAAAGTAATTATTATTAAAAATTTAATAAATAAATAAATGAATGAATTATCATCAAATATAGAGGAAATAGAGGAAATTATTTTGGCGATCGATCGTACGATCTTAAATGGTCCTGTGACTCCTGTCAGTCCTATTTGGTCCTGAAAAGTAACAGCGACTGCGCCCTAAAACTTTGTGGCACTATAGAAGTAATAGAACCAGATTGAGGACTAATAAACAGCAAATTTTGGTCTTAATCCAATAGACCGTTTCAAAACAAAGCAGCATCTAGAAATAAAATGTCATTTTTCCTGATCTTTTATGATTTTTACCAATAATGATCTTAGGACCAAGCTCAAATTTTGTCTTTGTTATATCTCACTATGCTACAAAATTTCAAGGGCGCAAATATTGTTACCTTCCCAAAGACTGGCTCAAATAAAAAAGACTGAAAAGACCGATTGACATCTTTTATATGATCTTACGATTGAGAATAGAGATATCGGTCGATATTTTCTAAAGAAATAGAAATGTTTTCCAATATTACTTCAAAATCCTATCTTTCTTAATTTTTTCTTTTTAATTTGTTTTGACTGGTTAGTGATTTGGGTAAGTGTGTAATAATTAGAAATTGGCTGGGTTAATTCAAATTTCAAATAGGGAGGGAGGTATTGATTTCAACTATTTTTAGTTTCAATTATTTGGATTTGGTTTATAACTCGCAAATATGTTTAAATAAAGTATTAATATTATTTTACATATAGAATGTATTTGGACACTTTAAAGATAACCCAGTTTATGAGTACAGAATACCAAGGTGTAGTACTTAGTTCTTTAACTATAGCATATAAATAATTAATTACATTATTATGCATGTAAACGTATATATTATTAGCGTACATAAATCTTCACGAACTAAAAAATCAAACTAATTATTACCTATTGAAAAGCCGAAAAACTCTTTCTCAAAAGTTTTTATACATAATAAAAAAACATTATCAGGACAATCATTACCTAACTAACGTGATTTATAAAATGTTATTTAGTCTTGCTGCCCAAGTTAGTATGTTAAACTAGCAAAATAACATTATATACACTTTGCCGTAACTTTTCAAACTTGACAACTCATTTTTGAACCTGCTCCAGAACTCGGTGGACTAATTTCATTAAAAATTCTAATAATGATAACTCTGGTCCTTATTCGAGGACAAAAATTTCCGGGTATGGAAATATCATGTGACCGTGGAAATATGACGTTGGCACAATAGTTCAGAAAAATATTTCGGTTGCAGATATAGTAATGGGGATCAAGGAAGTTCCAACTAACAATTTAAACCCGAATAAGAAGCTATTTAATTGTTATTTAACTTTGCGACGTATTAATAAATATATTAATTCTTGCGAAATATTTTACATACATATCAGATATTAATAAAAAAGTCAAATTATGCAAAGTGATACAACAAATGCCGATCCTACCCTATAAAAAAATCGGATATGTTTTTTATAAAGTTTTTATACGATTTTTTTTTCCTTAGAAATAACGTATCATGAAAGGATACGGAAAAATGCACAATTCCGTATCACTAAAAATATGGTTTGGATACGAAATTTACACGGGATTCGTATGGAATTTACATGATTTGATCACTGATTTTATCATGAAATTTATACGATTTGGTTACTGAATTTACCATTATATTACAGTTTATTATAGTTGTATTTACATAAATTTAATTCTACTTTATTAAATTAAATATAAATTAAAAATTAAACAAATACAAATATATTAAATACATTATTAAAATTCCCTTCCTTATCAAAACCACCTATTGCAACC